ATCCCCTCAAAACTTCTCAGTAAAGAAATCCCCTCAAAACTTTTTCAGGAAAGAAATCCCCTCAAAACTTCTCAGTAATGAAATCCCCTCAAAACTTCTCAGTAATGAAATCCCCTCAAAACTTCTCAGTAAAGAAATCCCCTCAAAACTTCTCAGTAAAGAAATCCCCTCAATATTCTCAGTAAAGAAATCAACTCAAAAGTTCTCAGTAAAGAAATCCCCTCAAAATTTCTCAGTAAAGAAATCAACTCAAAACTTCTCAGTAATGAAATCCCCTCAAAACTTCTCAGTAAAGAAATCCCCTCAAAACTTCTCAGTAAAGAAATCCTCTCAGTAAAGAAATCCCCTCAAAAATTCTCAGCAAAGAAATCAACTCAAAACTTCCCAGTAAAGAAATCCCCTCAAAACTTCTTAGCAATGAAATCTCCTCAGTGGAAAATTACACTCAAAACCTCAGTAATGCAACGACTTTAAAAAAAAATGTAAACACTTACCAAACATTCCAGTCAAAGCCTGTTCATGAACCTTTCTCGAATAATTATCTGGATTTTTATACAATGGTGAATTTTGAAATGGGATATCTTTTTCAGTAAAGCTAAAAAAGAAATTATGATAAAAGCAAAAATGGGCTTTATATATATTTGTGTCGCCTTACTGGCAAAAATATCAAGACACTTGCTTTCTTTTTCCTAAAAACTGAAATCTAGTTCATTTTTCTTAAAAAAAATTCAAAACCAAGGATCTTTCACTTCTGCTTGGATCTGCACGGACAGCCTTAAAACAATGTAAATCTTTAAACACATAAAATCTCAGCCATGTACAAAGTTAAGACTGATGATGTCGTCTGCTTAAGGCTTTAAATCTCAAACATGTACAAAGACTGCTAAATGTTGTCTGCTTACCTGGGATGTGTAAAAAGCTGGGTTAAAATTAGTTTATCATCTTCCAAATTCATAACAGATACAAGAAAACAGCGAACCAGCTCCCAGGCCTGACGTCTAGTAAATGTATCTGTTGAGCTACTTTTCAAAGATGACAGGGCAGAATCAATGGCCTGAAAATAACATTTTTTTAATGAACATCTATATCACTCAGCATAAACATTACATTGTGCAATGAGAAATGAAATGAAATGAATGGAGTTTTACGTCCTACTTTTCTGCACCATGTGGGCTAATGAAGACGGACAACGCCATGCAGAGTGCAATGAGGGAAATTTTGACAGGACAGCGGCATTAGCCTGCTCTTTTTCGATTTCCAACTGTCGAGGGATCTTTAACATGCACAGCCTGAAGCACACAGGGCCTCGGTTTATTGTCCCATCCGAACAACTAGACGCTTTTTCCATGTCAGCCCCTCTTACCTGCATCACTGACAGGGGGAAACCGGGTTGAAAATTATCTCAACCTACACTGGGATTGAACCCTGAACTTTCAGGTTAGCGAGCAAGCGTCTAACTCACTGAGCCACTGCGGCCTCCATTGTGCAATGAGGAAAATTTTTCCGTACAAAGGAGCTGTAGAACAAAGTGCCTGGATTTATTGCCCCATTCCAGTACTTAGACTTTTTGATAGTCTTGAACCCCATGACACTCAAAAAAAACTTACGATAAATGTGGAATTTTACATTGAGAAATACAATTCGTACTTCAAAATGATCGCAAGATTATTGTAAAAATGGAACCTGACTAACAAGCGAGAATGTAACTCACTGAACTTCTCAATAAAATAGAGAAAAACTATGTTAGGCCATACAAAATAAATAGTCTGTTTTACAGGCCTAAAAATGCCTGATTGTTGCCTTAATATTAAATGTACATTAAATTTGTGGTAATAAATAATAAATGCTTTCACTCGCTCTGATTTATTCCAGTTGAAACTCTAAAAAAGCGCTTATAAATAATAAATTATAAGTTTGCCCTCTCTCCCCAATTTTTGAAAAACAAGGCCTGTAAAACAGACTATTTATTTTGTATGGCCTAATAATAAATCAATTATATATATAGCCTACCTTCTCTACTGGTAATGATAATGGTGCTTTAGAATCTTGAAAATAGACTGTTACACAAGGTCCCACTGTTTCTTTATCATTGTAGCTTAGCTATTATCAAAATAAAAATAAAATAAACAAGAGGTTGCCTAGCAAGATACGCCCACTTAGCCAATATATTTTCGGTATATCAGAGGTTGTAACTCTGCGTAACTTTGTTGGATGGTGCTCAGTTTAAACCTCATACATCTTGTCAATATAAAAGTACATTTTGACGCGTTTTGGCTAAGTCAAGGGCAATAACTCAAAAACCTTTCATCGAAAAATCGCGAATTTCGAACTTGTCCAAGGTCTCATCAATATAAATGATCACACCAAATTTCATTCGAATCAGATGAAAACTGTAGTCTCTATCGCGATCACAAGCCAATTGTGGACAGACGGACCGACGGACATGGGTGACGACAATATACGTCCACATTATAATGTGGGTGTATAAAAATTATAAAAAAGAATTTCAAGGAACGGCTCACAGCACAGGGCATACGAAAACTCAATGATAAGAAATTTGAAATTCAGGGAACCAAAACAGGCCAGCCTTATTTCTATCAGTAAAACTGTAACATTTATGAATAATTAAATCACGATTCCGTTTACACGGTATCACGCAATTTGATTGGATAACAGCGGTCGCGTGCATTTGGTTTATATCTGTGTAAACGGAATGAATATATAAGCTCCGCCCCTTAACGGACTACTTTTATCATTGAGTTTGATTGACATGGCCAAGACACGGCGTCGATGTTGTTCCTTTGAACATCAACAGAGCAGAAATCTACACTTCACTGAATGATAAAGGTATTTTCTAAATTCCCTCAAATGTGCACACTCCAAATTCCAACAATATCATGAATTCTGGACTTATTTAGAACTCGTCTTTCAATAATTGAACTTCCAAATTGGTCGCTCCGTCAACTTTCATGTAGTAGACAGTAGATTATAAATAGGTGATCTACTTATTTTTGATTGGCTGTTCTCTAGGACGTCTCTATAGTTAGTATCAGTTCAGTAACGTTATGTTTAAATGTAATGTATTCATACACCAATTTAGTGCCTTAAGTTATTGTTATATTACATAAATATTTAAACATGTATTCGAGTTGATTTAATTATAAGAAATGACCTGAACATTTTTTCAGTTTATCAATGTATAAACAGAAAAAACCTGTGTACACTTATGTATAAACCGCTATGCGGATTTATACAGTGTACACAGGTTTTTTCTGTTTATACATCGATAAACTGAAACAAGTGGTTGCCTAGCAAGATACACCCACTTTCCTGATACATTTTCAGTATATCAAGGACAGTCAACTATCTGTGTCAAATCATACCAAAAATCTAATTGATGCAAGATATTGTTGATTTAAACAAACACACATTATTTAATAAAATTCTGACATAAACTGTCACCTCTATCACCAACAAATTTTGATGAGTTTTTACTAAGTCATGGGCAATAACTCAAATTCTGTTAATTGAAAAACTGTCAAATTCAATCTTGACTAAGATCTCATCATTATAAATGATCATACCAAATTTCATTTAAATAGGATGAAAACTGTACTCGCTATAGTGTTCACAAACAAATTTTGACATGTTTTTTCATAAATCAAGGGCAATAACTCAAAAACTGTTCATCGAAAAATCGTGAATATCGAACTTGTCCAAGATCTCATGAATATAAATGATCATACCAAATTTCATTCAAATCAGATGAAAACTGTAGTCTCTATCGCGTTCACAAGCCAATTGTGGACAGACGGACAAAGAGAGATGTGGGCGTATAAAAATGGTCAGGTCATTCCTTAATTGATCAATTGAAAGTCATCTTACCATTTGTGGTTCTCGTAGCATTTTTCTGTTTCCTCCTCCAAATTTGCCCAAGACTCTAAAAGCTACATGGGCTATAGTGTCTGTGGGGTTGCGTAAGGTTTTCCATAAAGCCTTAAATTTACAAAAATATGTCATCAAAATCTCTTCAAAATATTTTGCTTTGTTGTCCCATCCAAATGACTAAAGCTAAAATTCCATATACGCGTCATGCAGATCCGTCATGCGACATCCGTCATGCGTTAAAAATTGAAATGGTTGGTTTAAGAGGGTATGATTCAGTAAGCGGTATCCGTCATGCGTCAAAATAAAAATTGTCGGGTGTAGCAATTTTTTACGCATCCGGACGCCTTTCTGTGCGGAGATCTCCCTAATGTGACGTATTTTGTGGGGATTCCCTGTCTTTTTTATGCACCAAAGCATCCATCCGTCTAGAAGTCTGTGCGTCAAAAGACTGAAAAAGCATACGTTTAACGCACATATGGAATAACATTTGACGCATGACGGATCCGCAAGGGCCATTTATGTCCACATGACGCGTATATGGAATCTTAGCTTTAGGCCATACAAAATAAATAGTCTGTTTTACAGGTCTAAAATGCCTGATTGTTGCCTTAATATTAAATGTACATTAAATTTGTGGTAATAAATAATAAATGCTTTGGCTCGCTCCGATTTATTCCAGTTGAAAATCTAAAAAAGCGCTTATAAATAATAAATAATAAATTCACCCTCTCGCCCCGATTTTTGAAAAAAAAGGCCTGTAAAACAGACTATTTTTTTTGTATGGCCTTAGTGATTTCTCAATTTCAGCACCTACAAATCTGTATCACTGATGGGAGAATCCAAGATGAGTCTCATCAATTGGTGAAGAGAATATTTAAACGACTTATGACCTACCTGCATCAATTCAGCTCGTACAGGTTGTATGTGATCATAGAGAAAATCTGGTTGAAGATTATCAACACATAGTTCTAATGTTCGTAACCCCTGAAAATACATCATCATTTTGACATATTTTTATTTGATTGTAGAAGAACAACATGTAGCATTTCAATTCTGAAGTGAGCTAAAGGTTTCATAGCTGAAATTTACGGTGGCTCACATACAACATATTTCACTTTTAATTTTGAATTAAAAACTTTAAATTTTTCATAATTCAACGAATCTTGTAAAGAACGGCGAAAACAAAAGTTTTTTGGTGAAAATTTTTGAATTATCACCTAATTTTCATCTAGGTGAAAATAATTATCACCTAGGTGAAGATTAAAGTTTTTAATTCAAAATTACAGGAATTATCACCTAACTTTCACCTAGGTGAAAATAATTATCACCTAGGTGGAAATTAAAGTTTTTAATTCAAAATCAATTTTCACCAAGTAAAAAAAAAGTTTTTAATTCAAAATAAAAAGTGGAAAATGTCCTATGTGAGCCACCGTAGAAATTGACAACTCTTTTCCTGTAAGTTTCTATTGCACTAAAAATAACACAACATTATAATATAACAAGGGAACCATTACCTGACTGACTAAGGTTTGTGAACCGTTCAAAGCTGAGACAAGTGGGTCCATCAACATGGGTAAATACGGTAATAGAGAACTCAGTCTAACTGGTACTGTCAAACATAATTCCACAAACAGATCCTTCATATGTTGTCTATGTAAACCACTCTGTAAACTGTTCAGACCTAGTAATAGATGAATCATTAAAGATGGGTTCCCTCATTTTCATTTATGAAAATGAAATTGCTAATACTTATATGAATAGAAAGTAGAAGTGTTCTAATGACTTGGAAAATACCAGTTTGTCTCACATGTCCATAATTAATTCATAATTAGAATTACCAGCAGAATTCCAATGAGTGACAGATCAAGAAAGGTCAAAAAGTCTTTTTTTTTGTTTATCCAGACTGTACATACATGGACATTTAAAACTCTTAATTAAATATAATAAGAACTACCTAGATAGTCCGTATCTCTGAGGTTTTTTAACAAAAAGAACATACCTTGTAACAGATTGGGCAAGAGAGGTAGAAATTCTTGATACAGTAGATCATGGCTGCCTCCACCAATAGAGCGAAATAAAGCCCTTAGCAACAAGAAATAATTATAGGGTTCTTTAGCACTCATAGCTAGATCCATGGATTGATTAACTATAGTATGAAGATGAGGCTGGAAGTACAAACAACAAGAAATTCAAAAGTCAAATTTGAGTGTCAGAATTATTATTCTTCATTTTTTTAGATTTAACCCTTTGAACCCGGAGTGTAAATGATATATACTGTCATATACCCTGAACTCCCAAGTAATAAAAGTAAGATAGTGGACCACAGCCATATATGCCCACCACATATGCGAATGGTAAATATTCAAGATTTTTAGGCAAGGGCAATAACTCTGCTTCTAACGGTTGAAAATAGCTCAAATTCGAACTTGATCTTCGTTTTATGAATATGTATGCACATACCGAATTTCATTTGATTCCATCAAAAAATCTAGTTTTTAGAGCGTTTACCAGCAAATGTTGACGGACGGACAGGGGTGCTGACAATATACGTCCACATAGAGAGATGTGGGCATATAAAAAGGGTATGACGTTAACATTGTATGACGTCACTTAGCAACAGCTGGTATACCGGCTGCTCGGGTACATATTGCGTTAGTGTTTTGCCGGTAAACCGGCCCCTAGGGTTGAAAGGGTTTAAGGGGTTGTATCTGTATGAGTGGCAGTGATAGCATTGATTTGCACCATTCAAGGTAAGGTAAAAAAAAAAATCAGTTTGGAGTTTTGTTATGGATACAAATATCAGGAATTATAATAAACTA